ATGATACACACAACCATGAATAATCTCAACAGCTGCTGGCCTTAGCCCGAACTAACTTATTATCGTAAATATTCGTGGATACAAAAGTAATTCATTTTCTTCTTTATATCTTTTTTTGTCGTTTCGTTATCGCTCTATTGCTATATCATCGCGTATTTAATAACATACACAAGTGCATAAATATGCTAACGAGTTTTTTGTTTTAAGTTAGTTTCCGGCCTGTCAGAGCTCCGCAACGCTCTTATACATAACGCTGGTTCATCAGATCGTGCATTAGAATATTTCGACATTAATTATTTCTCTTTTTCTATCTCTTTGTTGCTTCTTTCATTCGAAATTGTTTCTTTCTTCGCTCGGTTCGCATTATATGGTTGTATACAAAATATTGTAATCAGGGCACTCACAATTATCAGTCGCATGCGTTTTCTCTTTCTTTTTTCTTTTCTTTCTACTTTTTATTTCTTCGAACAATAATTATTAAAAATTATAAATCGCGATACATTTTTTCATTCTGTACCGTCTTTTTTTCTTTTATTTTCAATCACTTGTTTTTGAATTGAAGAAAAAGAAAAAGGAAAAGAAAAAGAAAACGCATCTCTCCATTCATCATCCACTGCCTTTACAATAATTCTTTCTCGGCTTCACGTACGATTAACTCACCAATCCGTGTCTCACGTTTTAATTTATATCCGTTTATTAATATTATTTACGCTCGATATAAAAATAATACTCAGTCGATTAGTACAGATTTAATACTCAGTGTAAGAACTGGGGAAGGGGTCTTGGCGCTTCCAGTTTTTACCATGTTTTTTTCTCTTTTTTCTTTTTTTTTTTTTTTTTTTTTTTTTTAAATTCTTTTTACAATGTTTTTACGATTTACGCCTCTGTTATCGTTTTTTTGTCTCTCCACCGTTTAATATATCGTGTGTACGTTTCACTTATGCATTAAGTTACGTACAATGTAAATGTACGTCATGTGTGTATAATGTGTGTAATGCGTAATAAACGCGCATTTAATGGGTATGTGTATTTATGTATGTGACTTAGGATTTCTACCGAGGAACCCGGTGAAATCAAAAGATTCACGGTCGCGCAGACGGACGGAACAAAGCTGCGAGTTAATAATTAATTATTCCTCGACTCAAATCGTAGAGGTATCGACGATTTACCTCTATTATTATTATTATTTTTTTTTTTTTCTTCATATCATCCCGCGAAAACCCCTTCTCTCTTTGTCATGTACAATTATGCATTCTTCGTCTCGTTTTTTTTTTTTTTTTTTTTTTTATCCCCCGGCCTTTCGTTTACATTTGTTCATCGGGGGCCCGGGGTGCTTCGTAGCCCCGACTCTAAAAAAAAAAAAAAAAAAAAAAAAAAAAAACAGCCTTTTTCTTTTTCGTACGAAGACGTTTGTTCGTGATGACGAAGCATCTCGGGTTGATCTTGTCTACTTTCGATCCATAGCTTTAATTCCACTCCATTGTACACGATTACATATCCGGGATTACATCGCCGGTAATTAAATTATAAAATCGCTATTTACTTTCTTTCTCTCTCTCTCTCTCTCTCTTTTTTTTCTTTTTGTACCCATTTAACAAGCGATTAAAAATCGAAGAAATATAAATTCGTAGAGGCACGTTTCGCAAGCTGAAGAGAAAAGCTGATGGATCGAAAGTGAAAACGATTTTCGTTACAATAAATGTATCTATACTCGCGTGCACGTGAGCATCTGTATTCAACGAAATCTCCAGGTGAAGGCACCTAAAGCATTGACCGTCCGCATCTCGTACCGCATTAAAACCGAGTGTATCTCGCAGAAAAGGAGGGAATGACCATACGCGC